TCTCGCTGTCTGTCCTCCCCTCCTTTCCCCACCCGGCCCGCCTCTCCACCCCGATATCTTCCACCACCACAACGCCCCCCCCCCCCCCGGCGAGGAGTAAGTGCCACCGCTCCGCCTTCTCCTTTTCGCAATGTTGACGCAATCTATAAATAGTGGAACAAAAGAACCAACTTCCTCGCAGCTTTGCTGAAACTGCACAAAAAAGGCAACCGGGGGGCGAGGGGGGGACGGGACACACACGGTTATTTTTTGATTTTATTTTTTCTCCGGTTAAAAGGCGAATCCTTCCCCCCCTCGACACACACGCTACTGGAAGATTATTTATATTTTTTTTTTCCTCGCTGTCTCCTATGCTGGCAACGTCCTGCGAGTGGCTGTTTTGCTTTTGCGCCGAGAGTACGGCTTCCTCCCCGCTTCTTCTGACAGTAAGTGCCCTTTACTGCCTTTTCTACTGGGGTAGGGGGGACTGGGACGGGGGGGCTACCTGCTCCCCTACCTGCCTGCAGCCCCAGAGGAGGGACCAGGCGCTTCGGGGACGGGGGAGGGGGAGCTGTTAGAGGCGGTTAAGTGTAGGGGTTGCGCGCACGGGGGACGGCGCGGGGGTACTCGCGGATTTGGACGGGGTGGGGGTGGAAGCACGACCCGGTGAAATAAGGTGATCGGGAGTGGGGACGCTTGCCTCTGCCCGCCGAACAAAAGCTGACGCTGATATTAAACGGGCTTTTGTTAGGGGGAAGTGTGTGTGTGTGTGTGTGCGCGGGGGGGGTGAGGGGGGAACAACACCCCGCCCGCAGCAAGTTGTCGTGCGGCGGAGGGCACCTTAGACTTGTTTACCACTCGGCGCCGCGCTCACCGGCGTGTTTACCCTGCACACACGCCTTGGGGCTCCCCCCCTTCAAACCCCTTCCCCCCACAAGGAAGGGGGGGTGGGAGTGTGAGCGGAGAGGGGTTTAAAGGTGGGGGGCGCGCTGAGGAGATGCTGATACGATCACGCGTAAAACAACACACCCCCCCCTTCCCCTTTGCCAGTCGGATCGGTGCTAGCGCAGGCAGTTACTGGCCGGAGGGAGAATTACATCATCCCCTGCTCCAGTGATGCTACCTTTAGTGCCGCTACCATGAGCGCAGGGAAACAAGGGGGGCGCGCCTCTAGCTCCCCCGCCGGATCGGGCGTGCGCTCGATCCGAGGCGGGGGGTGAGGCTCACCCCCCGCGTCATTCACACACACACACGCCCGCCCGACTGTTTACAGCGCTCACACAGGCGTATTGTGACGTCGCATGATTGACAGCCCGCCTCACTAACGGGGAGGGGGCGCTGCCCCCGACGCCTAGGCCAGAACACGGGCGCCCCGCCTGGTTTCCCCTACTGGGGGGGTTGGAGAGCCGAGCCTAAGATTAAATACTTAAGAAGTTAAACACCGAATTTAGACCCTCCAGCATGAGGGTGGTTTAGGTGCTGCCGATTGATTGGCGTTTATGACGTTTTATGACGGTTTAAACGCATGCTACACGCTCGAGAAGGGACTTCTTGCGAGAGAAGTAAGTGTGTTTGTAAACGGGTCAGATCTGTGAAGTTAAACCCCCGCCTAAGCCTGGCTCATTCCCTCTGGGAGCAAATGGGGACACAAGGGGCCGGTTCTCTGCCTGAAGCATGCTCCCGGTGGGGTTGGCACAGAGAAAATGTCACATTGGTGGCCTTGAACACGTCATTGTCCAGAGTGGACAATAAAAAGCTATTTTTTATATACATATATACATATTCAATGAAAAATACACTTAAGCACCGAGAACAATATCTCAGTTTCATACACTGTCTGCTTCCCCCAGTGTTACCAGTGCAATGTTATAGGGTCAGAAACTTGTTGCAATATGCTACCTGGGGGGGTTTACTTAGCCTGTGAAAATATTGAAGTAGTACTTACCTACTGCAAAGTCAATAAATCCATATCACACTAAAACCAACAAAAAAGTGGTTTAGAAACGTGTCAAGAATTGTTTGCCAGAATGCAGCAGAGTAATATTATTACTAAAAGATCAGCATTTACTCACTGCAAAATCCAAGGAACCGTGAAGCCCTGTTAAGCAGCACGAAACAGTTTTTCATGTGTTAATGGTTTGGGTTTCTTCAAAGTGTGTTACTTTTTGAAGTCTGGGTGTTTCTATTTGCGCAGAAAATAGACTGAGAAGCTTTGAGCTCCTACTGTTACAAAAGTTAAAAGGAAACAAAGTTGAGCTGCTAAGTCGGCAGTCTGGAATGAGTCAATAGTATCTCCTTTGTCCTGCTAGCTCTCGCTGCTGTGGTGTATCTTTGCTCTATTTCCTCTGCACAAGCAAAGGGGCATTTCTACCCTCCCTACATTTAATAGTTTGACTTTATAGATCTCCTAGCTTCCAAATATTGTAACCCACCAGTAAAACTCCAGTGCGTCTGCCTTTCCAGACTGTATGCAACAGCCATGATACTGCCAGTGACAGACAGTACACTGCTCACTTTAACCACATAGATACTTACACATTTTCCATTATCTATAATTAATGGGGCAAATTATTATTGCTTTGTTGTAGTAAGCCTTCACAAAGGAACAAGTAGGCTTTTTAAAGTATTCCATCAGTTTAAAAAAAAAAAAACCAAAAAACAAAAAACCAAACAACCCCAAAACAAACAAAAGAGATTGGGATGGAGACACGAAGGAGATGTAAATAACTCTCCCCTCATTTACTTGGGGATTCCCTGGGAGTCTCAGAGGGCAAGGGGGTAACATCAATGGCTTTTACAACAGGATCACAGGTCCTGACACAGGGTCAACCGAGAATCTATGCTTGGCTAGCTAGCCCTGTGCTCCAGTTTTGTTTAGCTGGTAGCTAGTCCCTTGAGGGATCAGTGTCAACTGAAGCATGCTAACTTCTATAAGCAATGGGTTGGTCAGTGACCAAGAGCTCTAACCGGCTCCTGGAGGGCTCCCTAGTTCTGTTGTGCTTGGAGTTCAAGTGCTGCTGCCAGGCTGCTTCTGCAGCTTGGGAGCTTGTTACAGAAAGAAATCGAAAGTGGCAAGAGTATAAAGCAAACCCCAACTCTGTCCGTTTTCTGAAAACAAAAGGTGGGTGGGTATAGTAGGCGGATTGGAAAAGCAGCTTGGGTAGGGACGGGTAGGCTCACAGACTGAGGCACAGAAACTGGAATCAACTCCCATTGCTATGAGCTAAGTTTCTGTGTACCGCAAACCCAGTTCACTCTCAAACTATGGCCTTGGCATCAGCATTAGTTGTTCAACAGACCTGTCACACTCCCACAGATCATAAAAAAACGTCAGTTCAATATCCCACATGTAAAGATACTAGTGTTCAGCAAATAAATTAGCAGCATACTTTCTCTGTAATATATGTATGCCTTAAATTAATCCATTAAGGAAGGAGGTACATAGATACATATATGCACACACAGGTATCTCCTCACACTGATAGCCCCTTCTGGTTTAACTGTCAAAAAGCAATGGCAACTAGAATTGGGTTGAGTACAAAGAAAAGTGAAACTGTATTAACTCACTGGGAAGTTGAAACCTGTATTTTAATATATGCTTTGTGTAGTTTTCATTTATTTTTATGTTACAATACAAAGGCTTTTCAGGTCTGCAAGATCAAGATAATTTTGGTTTGTTTGTTTTATAAAAATAAGGCTTGTTTATTATTAATTTATCTAAATCTGCTTTTCTTTTGATTAACTGAATTACACAAATGAGTAATTTGGAGTATGATTATCTGACTGACCATCCCTTTCCCTTTTCACACTTGAAAAATATTACCAGTCAACTACTGCTGCAGTATTGTATCTGTGACCGTTCTGACTGTACCATTTGATTGTCTGATACTTTAAATTTTTTTTACGTAACTCTGTAACCCACCACTTCTTTTAAAAACCACAGCCTCATAATTTCTAATGATAACAAGCAGTTTTCTCTGGTCACCATAAAGGCCTGTGTTATGGATTTCTACAGCTCTTGTTTAAAACTCTAAATACATTCCTGCCTTTTCAGTTGTGAAGGGTGTTACTAATTTATATTTGGAAATCTGACTGGTACAGACAGCATAGTCTTCCTGGTTCTGCAAGCAGGCAGTTCCAGTGTTTCAGCTTTTGCACAGTAGCACTTTAACAAGCAGCAGCCATGCATAACTAACAAGACTGCAAGTCCAGTTACTGCTTTTTAGAAGCCTGTACCCAGCTCTTAAGTTATCTGAAATGTCCATTTTATATTGTTGCAGCCATATGTCAAAACTATTAACAGCAGGAAAGTGCAGTAGTTATTCACAATGGATAAGATATGGGGCGGGGGGGGGGGGGGGGGGGGGGGGAAGTTTTAAAAATGGAGCCCAAGGCACAGGAAGAAAGCAGCACAGCTCCAGCTATCCTTTTATAGTAACTGGTGTTTTATGGAAAGTGGGAAAGAAAAGAAAACTCTCTCTTCCTTCCAGCAGCTAGCCAGTGATAGCGTGACCCTTCTAACTGAAGACTGATAGCATTCTTGGAGAAATCTTTATGCAGGTTTCATTTCTAGTATCTGAGAAGGAGAAGTACTGTTTTCCCCAGTTCCTTCTCTTGAGCCTTACTTCTGGATTCTGGGTCTCTAGCTATAGTGATAGATGTCTAACAGAACAGTTTTCAAATTTGGCATTAATGCTTAATAAAAAGAAATAAACTTTTTCAGAATATTTTGAAGTACTGTAGTAGTTTTCATGAATATTACCTACATGCACAGTTTAACAGTTTGAGTACTGCTTATGTATAGATGATGTTAGTTAATCAGGGCATTAATTTAAAATGTGTACACAAGATACACCTCACACAGACTAAAGAAGTGCTCTCAGCTTGGATTACAGCTACAAATAAATATTTTGTAAAAGATGAATGGAAGTTAGGAAATCAGATGAGAAATATGTCCTTTAGACTGCCCAAAGAAGCAAAAAATAAACATGCCAAAAACTAGGCAACACTAGCTGGCAAAACAGAATATTGAAACGACTGTACTTTCTCAGGACTCTTAGTATCCTTGTTTCTGGCTGAATGTGGTATGTGCATTAACATCCTTTCTTATAAAATAATACAGTTCATAAAGATTCCACTGTATGACAGTGTACTGATTGGCTGTCACAACTACTGACTAAATATTAATTTTGGTAGTCTTTCCAAGTTAAATCCATGAACTACTGTATCTGGATAACTTCTAAATCCCTACCCACAAGTGAAACTCCAACAAGCAGATTTCCTGACTTGCAAATTGCCTATCTTTGTTTATAAAGATTTGTTTTGTAATTTACTTCAGTTTATCATTTTTACCTTTTGTAGTTGGTTGGAGAAATGTCAGATGGTCTCTTTTGATTTGGAGTTTACTCCATTTTAGTTTTTACAACACTAAACGTTGTGATAAACA